CACCAGTAAACATAAAATAATAACATAATTGTTTTAATTAAAGGCATAATTTTAAAGGACATTATTCAGTGACATTCAGTGCTTTCACTGTACTGCTCAGGCTTCCTATCTAGTTCTAGAACATTTTCATTGTCCCATGAGGAAACCCCTGAATCCACTAAGTTATTATTATTATTATTTATATCTAGTCTCTCAGCCAAGCTTTCTGGCTATGAATTTGCCTCTTTTGGACTCATTATGCTTTATAAAGATTTGGGGATTGGTGACATTGTGGTAAATTAAAGACAGCAAGAATTCTCATAATTGCTCACTGAATGAGAGAAAACAGCCACGTGGGGTTACATAGAGGGGGCATTTAGGGATAAGGATACTGTTAAGATATCTTGTGCATAACAGGAATTGTGTCAGTTCCCTGTGGGTTGGCTAGTAGGAGCCCCCAGTTTTCTGGGATATAGTCCTGACTGAGAATCTGATTGGAAGCAGACAGGAATGAGTATTTAGTGGCCCAAGAGACTGTGACCTTAATATAGGACACAGCAGGAATAGGGGTTTTTTAAATTATTTTGAGTTTGTATTCAGGAGTGGAATTGCCTGGTCATGTGGTAGCTGTATTTAACTCATTGAGTAACCATCCAAATGGACTTGTTTTGCTTGTGTTGGGGGAGAGTAGGGATTGTGTGTATGTGTTTTTCTATATGTGAGGACAAACATGCATGGCAGTGAACAGGTACATGTGTGTACATATATGTGGAGGCTAGTAGACATTAAGTGTCCATATCAACCACTCTCCACTTTATACATGGAGAGACAGTTTCTCACTCAAACCTACAGCTGGACAGTTGGGTAGTTACTTACACTAAGTAGTTAGTGTAGCTACTTAGCTTGCACCAAGGATCCCCTGTCTGTTTCCTGCGTACCTGGATTACAGATGGGCCACCAAATCTACTAACATAGGTACTAGAAATCCAGTCTATAGTCTTGACATTTGAAATATCTCTCCATGGTGTATGTGTGTATGTTCTTGTGTGTTCAGGCATACATGTCCATGTGCATGTGAAGGCCAGAAGACCACCTCAGATGTCAATCCTCAGGAGCCATCCACTTTGAGTTTGTCTGTTTGTTTGTTTGTTTGTTTTGATACATCTCTCATTTAGCGAACCTGGAATTACAAAATGTGCTATCAGGCCCAGTTTTTTATTTTAAATTTTTATTTATTTTCCATGTATGAATGTTTTGCATACATTTATATACTGTGTGAATGCCACGTGCCCTCAGAGGTCAAAAGATGATGTCAGCTCTCCTGGATCTGGAGGTACAGATGGTTGTAAGCCAACATGTGGGTGCTGGAAACCAACCTTGTGTCCTCTGGAAGAGCAGAGTTCTCTTAACATTTGACCCATCCCTCTAGTCCTAGGCCTAGATTTTTATGTGAGTTTTGGATATCAAACTCACATCTAAGCATATTCTCCTGCTTAGAAGACAGATATATTACTGATGAATCATTTTCTAGCCCCACACAAATGGTTTCTATATTTTTTCCTTTGCTTTTTATTATTGTTATTCAGCTTCCTATTACAGTAATAAAATGCTTGATACAGCCAGGTTATACAAAGTAAAGGTTTGCTTTGGCTCACAGGTTTGGATCTTTCAGCTTGCTAATTGACCATGGCTTTGGACTTGTGGCAAAGTACATCAATATGATACAGCAAAATCACTCTTGGTATCACAAAGAAGAAAGAAGAGACCAGGATCCTTCTATCCACTTTGAGAGCACACTGACAATGGCATAAAGACTTCCAGAACACAGAATAAACAGGGAGATTCTAAGCCTGGAGCTCAGCTTTGTTCCCATATAAAGTTGGGCCTGCCTGAGGCATGTCAGGGAGGTTTGGGTCTCACAACAAGTACTTAGGAAACAGAAAATCATCCTGTAAATCCAGCAACACCTTCCCCTAGGTTCCATTAACAATTGGTCTCATTCATCTTCATTGCCAAGTGGACTGGATTTGGAATCACCTAACAGACTTTTGGGAATATCTGTGAGAATATTTCCAGAGAGACTTAACTAAGGAGAGAGGACTCACTCTAAATAAAAGTGGCATTGACCCATAGGCTGGAGTACTGAATTGGATAAAAAGGGAGAAAGGAGCTAGAAAGATGATTCAGCACTTAAGAGTGCTTCCTCTTTCTTCAGAGGACCCAAGGTCAGTTCCCAGCACCCAGATCTGGTACTTCCCAACTGCCTGTAACACCAGCTCCATGAGAATCCAAAGTCCTTTTACATCTGTAGGCAACTGCACTCAGGTACACACACACACACACACACACAATTTAAATTCTAAAATACATATTTTAAATGAAAAAAGAGAAACAGAACTCAGCACTAGAATTCATCTGTCTCGTAGATGCCTTGTCTCCTGGGTGTGGACACAAGTAACTAGCTGCCTTATATACCTGCCACTGTGCCTTCCCCTCTGTGATGGACAGTATACCTTCAAGTTGTGGGTGAAAATAGACTCCACTGTCCGGCCGAAAATAGACTCTTAAGTTGCACTCATCAGCTATTTTGTCACAGCAATGAAAAGAGCAACACAGCCGGGCGGGTGGTGGCACACGCCTTTAACCCCAGCACTTGGGAGGCAGAGGCAGGCGGATTTCTGAGTTTGAGGCCAGCTTGGTCTACAGAATGATTTCCAGGACAGCCAGGGCTATACAGAGAAACCCTGTCTCAAAAAACAAAACAAAACAAAAAAAACCAACAACAAAAAAAAAGCTAGGAAAAAAACATTTAAAAAAAGAAAGAAAAGAGCAACACATGCTGACAATGTTTCATTCTTTGTTGTTGGTGGTTCATAGCTATTTTAAACTTAACATACCATTTCCTCAACTGTTTTGATATACAAATTTCTTTAAAAGAATATTTTTCCTCTGTGACTCAGTGCTGTTATACACCCAACACATGAACACTAGTGATTCCTCCTGGGCCATCCTCTGGTAGCCACCTCACAGTCTCCACCAGCTTCAGTGACTTTGATGACTCTGTTCTTCATACCAACATCTTAAGACTAAATCTCATATCATCTATAAAAAAGTCTTCCTCCAAGCTTCCTTCCATACATGATAGTAATTTGCAGAGACCGTGCTGGTTGCCTTGTGAAAAAATGCAGTTGGATTAGCCCATTTGTACCTCTGGCTTCATGATCCTCTTAACACTGGACATTGAGCCCAAAGGCTCAACTCAGTTCAAAAGCTATCTTAGCGTGCAGTTAGAGAGTCGTGGCCAGAGTACTTCTCTGCTCATCCTGGGAGCATATTTGTCCCAGCCTCTGCTACACATTTAACTTACGATTAAAAATTTGATGTCCCGGTCTCCTCCAATCTTTCACTTAATGATTCTACTATCTGTCCCATCTTAAAAGGTCAGTCTTTTAAAAATACATCCTTTTTTAGTTTTAGTTCTCTCTCTCTCTCTCTCTCTCTCTCTCTCTCTCTCTCTCTCTCTGTGTGTGTGTGCGTGTGCGTGTGTGTGTGTAATGTGCTTAAGAATATAGGTGTCTGGCTGGAGAGATGGTTCAGAGGGTAAAAGGTTCTGAGTTCAATTCACAGCAACCACACAGTGGCTCACAATTATCTATAGTGAGATCTGGTGCCTCTTCTGGCCTGGAGGCATACATGCAGTACTGGACACTATGCATAACAAATATTTTTAAGAATATTCATGTCTATAAAGACTAGAGGCATATGATTCCCCCCCAGAGCTAGAGTTATAGATGCATGTAAGACCTCTGATATGGGTACTAGGCGTTGAACTCAAGTCCTCTGGAAGAGGAGCAAATGCTCTAAACCACTCAGCCATCTCTATTCCCTTAAATTATTTTTTTTTGTCTGATTCATAGAAACTGCATCAGAAACATGACTTTATAATTGGTTAGTGTTGACTTATAGGGCAATTTAAATGCTGGGTAAATGTGTTTCCTAGACTCCATCCCCTCTTTCCTGTGGCCCTATCATTGCAAAAGAAACAAGCTGTAGTCACTCACCAGGGCATAATGAAAACTCTTTTGATCCATTACCTTTCTGGGCTTCCTCCTGGTTTCTCTGCTGTTCGACTCAGGACTTTCATGTTGTCAGTCTCAAGTCTATTAGAACAGCATTCTTGAAGCAAATGGTTCTAACTAGCTTCTCCTTAATTAATTGAAGTTCAGAAGTTAATTTTGTCTACTCTGTCAAGCCTTTGGCATGAGAACCAACTCCTTGCAGAGAACCAACTCACTCAGTCTCATTACTTATGTCTATCATCTCAGTTGTTACCAACAATGAACACCAGAGGGAGAAGCGTGTGTCCTAGACATTTTATTGCAACCACATGACCACTCTCAGTCTGACATGTCTTCAGAGAGACCCTATCCATCTCCTGTAGATCCCACTTCACTGTGCTTCTTTCTGCTCACTAGCAACTCTCACTCTGCAGCTGGAGGGTGTGTATGTGTGTGTGTGTGTGTGTGTGTGTGTGTGTGTGTGTGTGTTTGAGGTGTTTTTTTAAAACATGGATCTAGACACTAGAGAAAAAGGAACCATAAATGGAGCATCCATGAGTACCTAGAAAGTGCCTTGAAGGGATAGATAGTATGAAGGACAGAAGAAAAAAATTAAGAAAAGAAGGAAGTGTGAGGGGTTAGAGGGATGACTCATTAGTTTAGAACACTTTGTTGCAGTGGCTCCATCAAGTTGTAAGGAATGTGGTGATCAAGCCTAGGTGAAGCTTCCAGGGGTTGCAGGAACTGAGCCTATGGCATCTGGAGAAGAGGTTGACCTGTCTCATTCACACCATTCACACACACACACACCACAGCCTTGCCTTAGCAAGGAAAATAAACCAGGTTTTGAAGCAAGCTGGGGTTGGCTTTGAAGCAGCCACAGGCTGCACCTCCAGACCAGCCTGATCTTACTCTTTACCTGTCTCTCAGCCTTTCAGCTGTGCTGTGGTTGGAGCCCTGACTATGGTGACCATTCTTCTGAGGGCAAAGCCCAAGGTATGTGGTTAGCCTCTCCCTCACTGTCCCAGAATTTGCCCTGAGCAGTTTCCAAGTGCTTCTGCTTCATGGATCTTAGACCTCTCATTGCAGGAGAGAGCTTTGCTGTTCTCATCCCCAGTGCAGCTGCTTTCCTGAGTTTCCTTTGCCAGGTTTTCTACTTCTGTCTGTTCCTTTTTCCTGAGACAGGACTCTTGCCACTGAGTCTCCTGGGACAGGGATTCCTTGTTTCATTGTTTGCATCTAGGATTAACCTGGAATTTAATTCCCTACCACATAAATGGCTTGTTTTAGGTGACAGTATCTTTTGAAGATGTATCTGTGTACTTTACAAAGACAGAATGGAAGCTTCTGGATCTGAAACAGAGGAACCTCTACAAGCAGGTGATGCTGGAGAACTACAGCCATTTGGTGTCAATGGGTAAGTGACTCCAGTTCTGAATTTTCTTGCTTGTCGATTGATTGCTATGAACCCAAGAATAAGTACATTTCTTTATCTGACCTATACCTTGTAGGTCAGCTGTGCTATTAAATAAAGTGTTCTTCAATATCTTTGACTTTTAAACGCTGAGGATATAATCAATAACAACCTGTCAGACAAACTTTCCACACAAAAATCATAGATTCCCAAAACATCTTTCTATTGAGAAACACAGCAATTACACTGAAATATTTATTTGCAGCATTTTAGAGTCATTTTTACAGCAGATGTACTTGACATTCAACCTGCTTTATAGAAGTTAGCAACATCTTCCACTTACACACTCTAAGGCTAGGCAGTGTACTTGATTTCCAACCCTGGAGAAATCTAGGCAGGAGCTGGGGCAACTTCTTTCCAGCTGCTTCAACACTTCATTCTCCTGTCTTTGTGCATCTGCAAGAGGCTTTCCATCTTGCCAATTCCAGACAAAACCAACATTCATTTGGCTATATGGATGAACATTGTCTAAGGTTGGGCCACACTATTTGCTGGCATCTTCCTACTTGAAATGGCTCCCTGACTGCCTTTGGGCTGGGTAGGGATTTGTGAGAATGAGTACTCTTCCGTTTTTTCTGACTCCACAGACCACACCTTGGGAAACTGGTTCATTCCTCTGGGTTCTCTCTCAAGAGCAAGTCGTGGACACATATTCCCAGAAGATTTCAGGAATTCTCACTTGAGTTTAGTGGAGAAATGTGTTGGCTCCAAGCACATGACTAGGGGTGATCTTTCTCCGGTATACTTTCTGGGGAGTTCTTTGCACTCTGAAGATACAGGCTAAACTCTGTTCAAAAGTTATTCTATCCTTAGCTAGAAAGGTGTTGATTTTCTTCATTTCTTTGAACAGGATTTGCTTTCTCCAAGCCTAACCTGGTTTCCCAGCTGGAGCGAGGGGGGAAGCCCTGGATTAGGGCTGGTGGAATGGAGACTGCAGCAGGATCCTGTGCTGGTGCTGGTGAGCAAGGCACCCTCAGCTAACTTGATAGTGTTAGGGATAAAAAGGACTGGCCTAAGGATGTGGACTGAAACTTTGGGTGAGAAGTCCTCTTTAGTGAGGGTGTCAGACTTCCCAATGCTCCCTTCCCATGCTGTGACTAGATGAAAAAACATTTATCTTACCAGTTCTGCCCACTTTCTAGAATACCCTCTTTCTGCAATCCCTTATGCCTGCTCGATGTTTTTTCACTCCCCAGTTCCCTGATGGGAAGATGAAAAGAGGGGAAATGCTCCACAGAAGCCCAAGGAAGTGACACTGTGGCTCTGCCTTACAGGGAATAGAATAAAGAGCAAGACTCTGACTTCAAAGCCGAAACTTTTTGGAAGAGGTCTCCTCAGAGACACCTCAGGATCCTCATTGCAGAGATGTCCTCGCGATTTCAGGCCAAATCCCATTGTAAGGTACCAACACTCCAGAATCACGGATAAGCGGTATCTATGTCAGCAAAGCGGAAAATCCTTCAGCCGCAGCTTTAATCTCATCAAGCACCGGATCGTCCACAGCATCCACAGCGGTGAGAAACCATATGAGTGCATATGAGTTCGGGAAGCTGTTCAGGCGCAGATTGGCGCTGCTGGAGCATCAGCGCATCCACAGCAGCGACAAGCCTTATGAATGTAGAGAGTGTGGCAAAACCTTCACACGCAGCTCCAACCTCCAACCTCATTAAGCACCAGATCATCCACAGCAGTGAGATGCCGTTCATGTGCCGCGTGTGCAGGAAGGTGTTCAGGAGCAGCTTCACGCTGCTTGAGCATGCGCACACCCACAGTGGCGAGCAGCCCTACGAGTGCGACGAGTGTGGCAAGGCATTCATCCGAAGCTCCAACCTCATCGAGCATCAGCGCACCCACAGTGGCCAGAAGCCTTACATCTGCCAGGAGTGTGGAAAGGCCTTTAAGAGCATCTCACACCTCATCCACCACCAGCGCAGCCACCGGGGCAACAGGCCCTTCGCGTGCATGAGTGCGGCAAGGCTTTCCGAGGCCTCTTGGGGCTCAGCCAACACCAGCGGGTCCACAGCGGCAAGAAGCCCTATGAGTGCAGTGAATGCAGCCCGGCCTTTAGTAGCCGGGCCAACCTCTTCAAGCACCAGGTGGTGCATGGCAGAGTGCCGCTCCAGCGCAGCACTCCAGGGAAGGGGTTCCCACGTGGCTGCAATCTCCTGGCACATTGGCGAGGCCTCCATGGGCAGCAGCCCCAGGAGGCTGGAAAAGGTAGCTCAGCGGAGCCCCAGCCCACCGACACCAAAGAGAAGCCCCAAGTGTGTGATCCCTGTGGTCAGGTCTTTGAGAACAAGTTGCCGTTGTGTCACCACTTGCCACTTAGGCATCCATGACGACGAAGATGACAAAAAACCGAAGCCTGTTACTTCAAGCACCTCAGCTTTAGAGGATGAGTCAACGGTAGGGCAACATCTGGAAGCCCAGCCCACAGAAGAAAGAGACAGCAAAAGCAGTGTAGTCTTTGTGTATGCTGAGAAGCCCCAGGGCCCATCCTCACCTTGAGGCCAGAAACAATGGCAGGATGGCCCCTTCCCCAGTGTGAAACAGAGAAGCAATTCGGAATGACAGAATGCTCCCCTTCCAGTGTAGTCTTCCCTGCTCCTTCCCTGATAGGTCGAAAAAGGAAAGCTCCCTCCCTAGTCCTTGATGATACAATTGATAACTAGAGAATGTACAGGAAGGTTCCTCAAGTTGCCTAGGCAGGGTTCTCCTATGTGTGCTTGGGTGTTTGAGTAGGGTCTCCAAGTGAGAATAGGGTCTCCAAGTGAGCAGATTTGTATTATACAGAGTTGGTCTTTCCCATCTACATGAGAATTGCCTGATGTGGTTAGGAGGGAAGCAGGTATGTCCAGTCAACTCTAGGCAGTTACCTTGAAGTTTACAAACAGATGACCCATGTCCTTTCCCTTGTTTAATGTGGGGTGGTTCTCTCCCCTTAAGAGTTGTGTTTCTAGGGAAAGTATACTAAAGGCACTTTATTCCATTAAAAGTTTATAAATTGAAGGGGTTCTAAAATTGACTTGAAGCTTTCCAGGAAAGCACAGGGCACCTGCTGGCCTATGTGTGAAAGCTTGGATCCTATATGTGTGACCCCTGCTGCTGCTTGGAGGGTCTGTGCCAAACCTGGCATCTTGCAGAGAGGTTAAAGCCCAGAGACCTGAAGGTCTCTATTTTGGGAAAGAAGCCCCTTTCCTCTGGTGCCTCATAGGAGAAGGGTCTACATAAGACACGGCCTCTTTGTGCCACTCCTACCCACTGTCCCAATACCTACAGTTTCTCTGCTAATCCCTTTCATGGAACCCATTGTGTGCTGATGACAGGTTAGGAATTTGCACTTAGATGGCCCATGAAATGAGTCTGGCCAGACAATTATCTTTCAGATGACATTTCTTAGATTAAAATTGCCATTATTTTAATATGCTTTTGTTTGCAGGTGACAGTTGGAAAATGGAGATCTTTCTTATATGAGAGTATTGGGGAATTGATCCTTTATAAAAATTCCTCAGGCAGAGGGTGTAGCTCAGAGGTGGAGTATATGCCTAGCAGACCACAGGCCCTGTGCTCCATCCCTGGCCTCCATCCAAGCTCAGACAGGAGAAAGGGGCCTTCTCAGCCCATGACTGGTGAGTATGGTGGCAAGTCTGGCCCTCCAAGAGATGATATGACACCACACACACACACACACACACACACACACACTCACACTCACACTCACACTCTTCTCGTAAGCCTGGTTGACTTTACTTAGAACTAAGGGGAAGGTGTTTCATAAGAAAATCAGTAGCCGTTCTATTTTGCCTGTGCTGTCTCCAGAAACTCAGGAGATCTGTCTCTTGGTATACTCAGCTCAGCATCCTGGGCAGTAAGCTACTCATATCCTCTCATATCCAAGGGGGTGGGGGAGGGAGAAAGATTTTGTCACAAAAGTTGCCTGAGGGCAGGTGGGTGGTACAGGTGAAGTGGAGGCTGCCCTTGGGCACTCCAAGGAAAAGTGATGGTGCCTTCCTTGCCAGGTTAGCGAGGTTCAAAGACAATTGCCCCTGCCAAGAGAGTATGGAAAGAACTGGAAACCTGGGATGCTGGTTGGGGCCCTGATCACAGAATAACTTCAGATATTCTTACACACACACACACACACACACACACATATACAGTTTTTATGTATATAAAATGTTTTGTGTAAAGTTCGAGTTTGTAGCTTGCTCTTATCTCCGTGCCCTCCAGTCTTGTCCTGTGATTGCTTTCTCCTGAGCCTGCAGTTGTGTGTTGTGCTCAGCTTTGTGTTTTCACTCTGAGTCCCATGCTGGGCACTAGTGAACAAGGCTTGCTCTCTTAGTGTGCTCAACTTGGGCTATATAGTGGTTGGTGTCAGTGGCTCCTGGAGGCAGTCCAAAGTATCTGCTATCTTGATTTCCCACTAGAGAAAGAATAATAAGAACAGTGTCTTTTAAGTTCCTGGTGAATTAATTGCTCAGACAATTTCTGCTAGGGTTGGCACAGATACAGGAAACAAGGCCTCATGCAGTACAGGTGCCTGTAGTGCAGGTGCCTACAGTGAGAGGCCCTGTGCAGACTGTTATGTGTTCTTAAATATTCATTTCCATGGCTCTAGGAAGGGAATGCACGATACCTATCCTCCAAACCTGTCACCAGCTTCTATACTCAAAGATAAGTCTCCATAGAAAGGGTCATGTGTAGTCATTTTCAGCAGAAAGTGGGGTCTGCAGGGAGAGATGTAGAGCTCCAGGGTCCCAAGTGGTTGCTACATACATAGCAACACATCTCAGTTTTCTACTTTAGTTCCTGTTCCTAGATGTTTTCAGCAAGGTAGTTAGGAGTAGTAAGTTCTTTCAGGTATGATAATCAGGTATGTAAAATAAACAGAACAGGTTTCTCCTGGAATAAAGTCAGAGTAACCAGAAGGATGCTTGTGCTTTTCCTTGTTTTGTGCCTGAAAACTGTGCTCCAGCCCTTGTGCTAGATGGTGAGTGGGGCTAATCGTTCATTTGTGTGTCCTGAGGGGCAACTAGATTATAAACGCTTAAACTATCAAAAACTCCTGCTGTTTTCTAGTTCCCCCTCTTCCTGTCTTCTCTCAATACTTCACCTTTAGACCATTTGCCTTTTAAGACTTTGGGTGCTTTTCAGGTGCTGTGTGAATATCCTGGCATTGACTCCAGGAAACTAACAGATGGTCCTTTCTGAATTTATCATGAGATGAAAGGTTTTTTTTAACATTTTTGTTGGTTGAAAAAAAAGACAGCTACTTGGAAAGTGCTTCACCTGTGTGAAGAGGGACTGTTCTCAAGATTAAAGTAACAGATAGATAGTGGGTTCAAAGTCAGAAGCAAAAGTTAACTCTGAGCCTAGAGTGATGCTAGGATTATTGGAAAGGGTTGTTTGTCATGTGGGAGGGCCTGTCTTAGTCTGCCCAGGGTGCAGGCTTCTCACAGGGCCCCATACTGCAACTGTGAGACCAGGCCTACAGGTTCCTAAGCAGAAAGTTCCACCAAGAGAAACCACTATGCCTGTCTTCTGTTTCTGTTTTGTTTTTGTTTGTTTTGTGCTATCAAGTTTCAAGCAGCATAGAAGCACCTACCCTTACAGCTTTCCAAACAGGAAGTAGAATATAGGGACTTCAAGTTTGAGGGGTGGGGGCATTGCTGAAAAATACCTTGGTTGAGAGTGAGGAGGATATAGTGTATTGGGGAACCCTGAAATGCATGCAGGTTTCTCTAGTACAAGAGTCTCAGGGCCATTGTTTTCTGAAACAACAGATAAATTGGGTCTCATGAAAACATGAAAACAGCTGGGTTTCTTTGGAGGGTGGTATTATTTTAAGCCTGTGTAACCCAGGCTGGCCTTTGAATCTTAATTCTCCTGCTTCTACCTCCTAAGTGCTGGAAATACAGGGTTGGGCCATCATGCCTGGGTTCTGAAGATTCTTATATTCTTGTGTTGAAAGTAACACCAGTTCAAGCCCTTGCACATTTATGAGAGAAACAGTGCCTCCTTTTGTGTTCAGTACAACTAAGCCTGATCCCTCTCCACCACCTAGGAATGATGAGAGCAAAAATGAAGGACTACTGTGCATTTGGAGGCTAGTGATACATTAACATTCTTTGACATATTGATGGGGGTATAGGTTATACAGCTTGAAGTGTACAACTGCAGATGAGTTATGATGAGTATCTGTACCCTTAAAATCATCCCCACTGTCAAGTCAATGAAAATTCAGCATCTTAGCCAATAACTCCTCCTTTCTTCTCCTCCCTATCCCATCCTTACAACTGCTGCTTTCTATCACTAGTGATTAATTTCTATAAAGATGGACTTCCACAGTGTATGTCTGGGTTCTCAGCGCCATTTTTAGATGTTTCCAGGTGTTTGTGTGTATATCCACACTTCATATTTATCCCAATGTATAAATGGCCTCCAGTACCTGTTGATGTCTGTTAATTAATATTTACATTCTTTCCAGTTTGAGTTAAATAAAGCTGCTATGAGTATTTGTGTGCACATTCCAACATGAACGTGTTTTTATTTCCCTTGAGTACATAGCTAGGAGTGGAATAGCTGGTTCGTATGGTGACACATTGTTTAACTTGGGAAAGAACTGCCAAACTTATTCAAAGTGGTTGTATTATATCTGCAGTAGCTGTTATATGAGAGTTCCAGTTTCCTCCACCCTCACCAACACTCGTCTGTCTGCCTTAGTGTAGCCATCCTAGTGTATGGAAAGTTTTAGCTCTTTGTGCTTTTGATTTGCATTTCCTTCATGACCATCTTTGCATGAACTTGTTGGTCATTCACATTTCCTTTGAGAAACATGCTGATCTCTTGCCCATTTCAATTGAATTGTTTGTCTTCTTACAAAGAATTAGAGTTCTAAACATCAGTTCATCATCAAATACATTTTTAACAAATGTTTTCATTCAAACTATATATTTAAAATTTTTAGTTTGTATTTTTTGGGACTTGCAATGAAGAACTCTTGTCAAAAAAATGTCAGTAAGACATTATCTTATGCTTGCCTGTAGAATTTTTTTATGATTTGGATTTTGTTGTTGATAGTCTTAGGGTTTTGTTTTGTTTGAGTTGGGTTGGGTTTTGATTTATTTTCCAAGCAATGTCTCCCTATGATGCCTGGGCTAGGCATTTGCCAACCACACTCTGCTTTGAACTGTTACTGCAGAACATTCTCCCCTCCTTCCTTCACACAGACTTAAATAACTTTTAAGTCAAAAGGAGCTGGAACAGAAAACAAAAAAGCCTAGGTAAGAGGTCCAACCATACTGAGAGCAGTATGGCCATAGCATGTTACTAACCTGCTCCTGTTTCCTATCAAGGCAGAGTTTTAATAATCACTTTTAAGAAAAATTGGGAGACTTAAAAGATGGTTTCCCTTTAACATCAAACAGTCCACACTGCAAAATTAAAATGAAACCAGTATAATACTTAGTTTCTGGACTTTCACTCTTAATTTCAAGGTGCTACGGGCG